AGGATACAGGAGGGTGGCGTGATATATATATATATCTGTGCATTTACATATGCTAAAAAATGTGCAATCATTTTTCTGCTCTAATGTTTCCTCAGTTCTGTTGATTTAGCAGCAGTGCATATCTAGGCAAAGACATAAAATTATTAGAGACTTAAAATCAGATTAGGATTCAGTTTATTAATCATGATTCCATCCACAAGCAAAACACTGCGTGTGTTGCTTAGATAAAACCTGTTAAAATATGAGCCWTCTTTACCACTATTTAGATAGCAGTCTTACATCTACCTCATTTAAATAACTTTTCATAAATCTCTCTATTGAATATAATAAGTCTTTTATAATTGGAAGTGCAAAGAAGAAAAAAAACAAGTAACAATTTGCTCCAGGCTTTGTCGTATTCTATAATTATCTTTTGTTTGCATTCATGTTTATGCAAGGCAGGATCGTAATGTTTTTATGGAATCTGCCAGAAACATCTGAAGTGGAGATGCTGTGGTGGAGGGGAATCTTCCTTTCTGAGAAAGAAGGAAAAAAAATAAAAAAAAGGAAATACCTATTGACTTCAATATGCTCTGGACGTGCTCATTGAATGGTCTGGCAAACAAACATCTGCCATAAATACAAGCTTAGCCCATTGTTAGTTACTGAAGCAAATAATCCCAAAACAATGTGTTATTTTGTAGGCTTATCTATAAAAGCAGAGGAGAAAAAGAAATCCCAGACTTTGCACAGCTTTGAGAAAAACATAGCCTTGTACAAGCACTGTGCCTCCGTAGAAACAATCCCTCACCCTGTCATGAAAGGAACTCCATTCAGAGAGAAATGATTGCGCTGGAGTGAAGTGTCGCTCTGAATGTTGCTTCTTCCCCCATTTAAATGCCTTAAGGGTTAAAAGTACACCACTCGCTTTACGTGSAACCAGGGCTTTCAGATCTTGGCTGTGGCGTGCTGTGTCCTTGTTGGGGAGCACCTGAAGTCATTAGTCTGAGCAGCGCCTGACACTAATTGTGGTTGTCGTTCACAAGATAGCCGTGCAAACCCGGAGAATCTGGGTAAATAATAAGCTATTTTAAGCATTTGCACGTAAGGTCCTACTCTCAGTTTTTTAAAAGCCCTCACATCTCTTGAAGAACATCACCTACTAAAGCTGCTGAGGGAGGGAAATGCTTTTTAGAAGGCAAATAGTGTTTGAAATGCATGATCCTTGCTTGAAGCTGCTATAAAGAACAGCCTTGGTATGTCTTCTTGCAATGCTCCGTAAAGCTGAGGAAAAATGTTCTGTCTTTGTCATACAGCTTGTCATGGTGCTGGTACAGAACCTACCTGGTCATGTATCTGTCATGCTCAGAAAAAATGGGCTGATAGCCATAGAAGGAATTTAAGTAATTAAATTGTCCTATATCTGCTGATAAATCTTTAAGAAAATCTTGCATGACTTCTGGKAAGTTCTGGGCTGGAGTCTAATGTGTATTTGACTCTATATTTGTTTTCTTCTCTACTTTCTATGGATACCATTTCCTCTATTTGCATGGCTGTTTATTACACCATTATGTACAAATCAGAAATGGTTTGTATTGTTATTCAAGTGAGGTTATTTTTTCCAAAGCTTTTAGTCCCTTTATGGGTAGTTTATGAATATTACTAGTTTAGTGAAGGCAAGCAACAACTGCAAGCAATTTCAGACAATTGCCATGCTCTTGCAAATGAGGCTGGGCCAACATCCAGCCAAGTTGTGAGGCACAGGCAGCAATTATTTCTGTCTTTGAGAAGACACAGTAAAGCCTACTTGCTGAATTTGGGAAGTCAGCAATTAAATTTTCCCCCTTAGTTTCTGGGAGCAGTTTTTTGATCTCTTTTGGTGCTGCTGCAGGCTGACCATAGCTGAATAGGATACGCTGCCAAACATAGTTATATTGTACAGTCATGCAGGAGACCAGAGACCACCTAAAGTGCATGGCTGGCTGGCCCAAGTTCATGCCAAATGTGTACATTAGGTTGGGTATATCTCCTCCAAGTCTTTTTTTTTTTTTTTTTTTGGATTTGGACATTTCTTCACAATAGCCATCATAGCCATTGCCTTTGTGAGCTCATTGTAGTCCATTGACTTTATGAGCTAGTTAACGGTTTTGAATTGCATGTGTCAGTTAAAGGTTAAAAAAAAAAAAAAAACCCTACAATTTCTTCTTCGCAGTTTAGCAAAATGTTACACAGTTAATTCTGCATAATACCTCCAGAAAGTCTGGATTAACCAGGAATATGCTTAGCGGTGTTAGACAGCTCCAGTATGCCTTGCTTATATATAAGTGACTAGTGGTATTAAGGGTGTTACATCCTCTTCCCATGCCATAACTAGGAAAATCTGAAGATTTCCATCTGAAAGTACAACTGCCTCCCACTTGACTTTTTATTCCCAAAGTAATCGGGGAATACTTTGCAAGACATTACACATAAATAATGTCTTATGTGGAATACCTTTTCTGAATTCTGGTTAGCAGGGAAGAATGTGTATATTCTGTGTATTGTTCAAAAAAGCAAGTCCTTTCATTCTATTAATCATAGAATCATTATGGTTGGAAAAGACTTTATCTTAAGTGTCAGAGATTCCTGATAGTTACAAAAGTCTGTTTCTTGGTGTTAATGTTAACAATTATCTAAAGACATTTATGTCATAATTCAAGCTTGTGATTTCCAATTTTGATAGTGGAATGCAATGTATGCAAATGAATCTTTAAAATATACATTTTAAAAATTATTTTTTAAGGTAACATTCACCAATTCTGCTCAGTTCAACATTTTATCCTGTTTCAGGTAAATACTAATTTTACAGTGAATAAGCAATTATTAAACATATGCTTATTCATAAACAATTATTAAATCTGTGCATTAGATTCAAGTGTTATGTAGTAATTTCTGAACAAAAAATGAGGGTCTGCTTCTTGAACATCTGCCCTGGACTGAGTTGGATTCTATAGAATTATTGAAATTCAAATTCAAAGTCATTCAAGAATTCAAAGTCATTAGAATAGTAGAATCAATTATTTAGTGTATATGTAGTACATATCTATATATAGCTATATACATAGGGTATATAAACCTATACATATTGACACCTATATACCTTATGCTTTATCCATATATCTTTAATGTATGCCTATATTTAGATGTAGTAAGTAAATTCCCTTTCTCTCTCTGTATATGCACATATACATGTATAAGTGTGTATGTGTATGTRTATATAGTCATATACGTGTGTGTATATGTATATATGAGAGAGGGAGTTTGGTTACTGTAAATAGAATGGAAGGGGACTTCACTATAAGTATAGCAAGAATTTGTCTGCGTTGTCCACTTGGATTATCAATACTGTATGTAGGTTTTTTGTTATTTTGACATAGCTGCCCTTGTATGATTTGCTTTTTCAAAGGCAGAAGACTCATATCAGTCTTCTAGTGCTGGTKCTTTTTGTGTGCTTTCTCCACTGTATAAAACATAGTGGTATCATTCAGTCAGTTATCAGAGGAACCTGACTTTGTACACCTGGCTAAATTTTTCTGTTCATCGTGGAATATTTCTAATAATATTTCTGAAAATGTARAAATGGTTTTACACAATATTTGGCTTGTATTCTAAAATCACATGTAGCTTGAGTACTATACGTACAAGCATAAATGAATTTTTAGTGCTCAATCCTGGATGATATTAGAAGCACTTGGATAATGTCTGGGATATAAGAAAAAAAAATGTGTGGGCTGAGAAGTTTTCTGAAATTTATGTGTGAGAGAGAAAGTGAAAATTGCATTTAAGTTATAATGAGGGTTGGTTCATCTCTTTCTTGATCTTTTATATTTACTTTTAATACTGTTTCTTCATGGTTAATATTGTATCTGTTTTCTACACTTTGGTTGCCTAGATGACATGTAGTCTAGCTTTACTTCTGTTCCTAAAAAATAAACAAATGCAATTACAGAGTGTTGCCCAGAACTATAATGTGCCTTTGTTCCCTGGTTTGGAGGATTTTTTGGGATGCTTTTTGTTTCCTGTTGGCATTTTCTCCTTGCACTTTATTCTTTGAAATTGTAACTACCTCTTTCATTATTCTAAATAACTGAAAGCAATTGGTTAAAATTTTATATTATACTTTTCTCTTTCTAGGAGGGGACTTTTACTTTCGTGCAGATTAGTTACACATGTATGCCATTTCATCAGATTACACGAGGGTTTTCCAGCTTGAGCTTTTATAAACATATAGATGGAGTAAATACAATACAATAAAATTCATTTATATTATTCCAACAGCAATTGCCCAATTCTTGCAATTGAGCAGGAATACTCAGAAGTTTTACATTAGAGTGTTGGAAATGATGGACATCTCTGATAACGCACTGTTATTTCTGCACATGTACAAGAGCTGCACACTTGTACGTTACACAGCAGAGGTTTTAGGTGCTGCTCAAAGGAATATGCAGTAACTGAAACTAATGAGGTCAACTGGTCTTGACTGCTAGAATTATAAAGGCCTATCTTTCTAGCAGTCATAAATGTTCAAGTCTAGCTGAATCAAAGGTACATAAAATTGTTGATGTTAAACAGAACTGAGTTTTTTCAGTTTCTCCCGTGATGGGCAAAGAGCTGGTGTTCTGCTCACGTGCACTTACCCTTCCTTGTAAGTGAATAACTAGAATAGGTGTAGATTGGGTGTATTCTGCATTGGTTACCCATCTGTATTAAGTCCTATTTTCATGGATTCTAATGATTCACCCATTATTTTTGGTACCTAATGCATCTGCTTTTTAGCATAAAGATAAAATATTATTTCAAATGTCCTAATACCACTGAGGCTCAGTGATTTGTCATGAGACAAACACATTGGGATTCCACTTTAYTCTTTGCAGTGCCATCAGCAGGGCAGCGTGGTGGCCTCTCCAGCCTCCCTTGGAGAGGTCATCTCGGGATCTCGCTGCACCTGCCTCTCTCTAACACTATTTTGCTGTCTTTTCCAGTTTGAGGGCTGCAAGAAGGCCTTTTCGAGACTGGAAAACCTCAAGATTCACTTGAGGAGCCACACGGGCGAGAAGCCCTACCTGTGCCAGCACCCCGGCTGCCAGAAGGCCTTCAGCAACTCCAGTGACCGCGCCAAGCACCAGCGCACCCACCTGGACACGGTGAGCACATGGACTCGTCCCTAGGCACCCTCCTCACTGCACAGGGCTCAGCGGTGCAATACCTGATACCTGAGCGGTGAAATACCTAGTTCCAGCAAACCGTTAGACCTAGAGATCATCTAAGATTAAGATGAATAGAGTAGATACTGTTGAGTACCTACAAGCCTTCAGAGAAGACAAGTCAGAGCAGTTACAGGAGGTTTATGGACTCTCTGGAGAACTAGTCTTTCTTTTTTTTTAATGTCAGATATTATAGAACTGGTGTCTTCCTAAAAAGGCATATGTGCTARTTGAAAATACAAGCTGAAGAAGGCCCTTTTCTTCAGATCTGTCATTTTGTGCAATACTTTACATACAAAATACATTACAAATGCTTTACAAATCCATTACAAGTACTTTACAGTACTGGGTACTTTAGCATTCCATGTTTTGTTTGTTTTTTTGCTTGCTTTCTCTGTAATGTAGTAAACTAATATTTTCCTTGATCTCTTCCTCTGAAGCAGAGAGCCTCTATAACCCTAAGCCATCTCTCCAGGTCTTTACTGCAATTTCTTTACCCAATTCACTGAAGAAATTAATTTCTGATTAAGTCAAAGATTACTGTAAGGGTAGAAGAGTTGTGATTATAACCAACAATATTTGTTATTACTGATTTTAAAAAATGCCATAATGGCAATTTTTAGGTTTTTAAAGCTTCAGAAAGATTTCCTTTGATTCCTCTGTCCTTTCAACCTTACTTTTACCTTTCTTCTTTACCTTTCTGATAAATTGCTGAGCATTATGTTTGTAGTAATAAACAGCATGAATTTTCTCTTAATGATGTGTCCTGCAGCATCMCAAGGCTCAAAGGGGTTCTTCAACAAGTTAAAATGAGCTGTGATTGAACATATATTACTACCCTTTAACAGTGTCATTATCCTTTTCCTTCTTGGCTTAGAAACCCTATGCATGTCAGATTCCAGGATGCACTAAACGGTACACGGACCCAAGYTCTCTGAGAAAGCACGTGAAAGCACATTCTTCCAAAGACCAACAAGCCAGGAAAAAGGTAAGTTTTCCAGTGTGTTGGTCTGTGTAAAAATTACACAGGGAAGCCAGTGTTTTAATGTTAGCTGCATCAATGCATCTTAAGTACGTGCTGATTTCCAAACTGCTTGATTTGAAAAACAGGTAATGGGAAATAATAGGTCTGATGTTCATATAGATAATGACTTTGACTTAATGAGGCTGATTACTTTGATGCTGTGTATTTTCAGATATATATATACTCAACTTATGTAATGAAACAAATTTTTTTTTTTTTTTGAAAGTAAAGAGATTTTTATTTCTAAAAATTTGCCCCATGGTAAATGCATGGTGGCACCATGTCCAGTGAATGCAGCCCATGTCAGTTAGAAAGATGGATTTTGAGAACAGGTGGGCAGTGACAGACAGACAGTATGTAGGATTAATTTGTAATGTAAAATTAATTATGTTTTCACATACCAGACACTTCCAGATATCAAGACATTTCAAAATACTGAGTCTCTATGGGCTCCATGAGTCAACAGTTGTCTGTATATATATACAGATATCTTTGAAAAGCTGAGTTACTAGCTAATGAAATAAGCATATTTTTTCATGTTTTTGTTGTTGTTTTCCTGATCATTTTTCATCATATCATACGTTAATCACTGGCACTGCTGCATTAGACTGTTTAGTCCACTGAGAGTAAAAATCTAAGCTTTTATGTTATAGGAAATAGATATTGATAAAAGGGGAACCTTCATGCACTCGTGTAGGGATAAAATAACTTTCAAGAAGCAAGCCCCATTTAAAAATAATGGTTTCATTTTTGATCATGTGGATGGTAAGTGGAGCTGTGGGGAGGGCTGTGGGTCCCAGGGAAGCCCAGTGAACCACACACCCACTCCTACAGGTATGTGAAATCCATGGCAGACAGAGTTTTGTGCACTGAAAATCACATATATGACTTGTTCACTGCAGCTCTTGTTATGGACCTGATTAAGCTGTATAACAGCACTGTAACTGAAAGTGAAATAATGTGGTTTATCTCTGTCTGATTGCATCAAATTACAGTACTATGTGGGGTTTCCCTTCTTACGTATGCATTTCTTTTGTGTTTTTTTGTTGTTGCTCTTCTGCACTCCTCCTCTGTGCTGATCAGTTTAAAGCTGACCTTTTTTTAATCCTGAGTTCACTATCTGTGTCTGCATTTGGGTTTAAAATTGGTTGTTTTTGCATCTTCTCTGTTTGATTTATTTATGCCATTGGTCACCTGAGATTTGTTAATGTTTGTGAGGTGGAGTTACTCAAACCTGCAGAAAAACTAAAGAAAAAATGTGGCATCAGTCAAAGCAGATTTTTAAAAGACGGATGAAGTTTGCCATCTATAGTGTTCACAAGTTACTGGACCTTTGAGAACTTAAAATTGCTAACTCATATCATGCTTTGGCATTTGAAATATTTCCTGGCAGTAATAATAAYAACAAAAGAAATAATAAACTTTTTAAGGCAGAAATAAGATTATTTATGACTTTAATTAAAAATGAAAATTGGCTTAATGTCAAAAAAAAGTCTTTACAAAAATGTGAATTCATCAAAAATAACCATAAAAATTCCAAGGTGATAAAGGCACAGTGGAGTAATAGCTCCAGCCCTAGGGAACTGTTTTGTTGAAAAGAATGAAACCCTTTGCTGTCACACCCTGTTAGTCATGGATTCATTTAATATATTGTGCCTGACTGCTTTTAATCCTCCTTTTAACCTCCTCCTGCACCCTAAGTGACGTTACTTTGGTGTTTTAAGTTGCTAGCTCTCCAAGACTATATGTACAAATGTGTCATTGATGCTGCAGAGCTGAAGTAGCAGGTAGATTCGTGTTCATAGCAGTAGAGTCAGCTACTAATTAAACTAAAATCTGGCTATCCCAAGTCTTCAGCCCTGGCTTTCGAGGTTTATCTTCAAAACAGACCATCTCTTTGTCCCTTTCAGGTATGAAGCAATGAGAAATAGCATAGATAAATTTGTATCTCTGAATTCTTGTCACCAGCTTTTATTGCTTTTTATGGCTGTTTGTGYCTTCTATGTAAGGAAGCTTCTTTCCTCTACCCCACCAGCCTCCAAATGTAGTTAACTGGGAATCTCTCCAGGTAATGGGATGAAGTCCTAGATTCCAAGAAGTGCCTGGAACAAACACATTTAATGARTGTAGCTTGGCAAGTGGTACAAGCAACTTTCATTAGCTTTGTAAAGCAAACGCAAAGAAAACAGTGAAAGGGGCCATGCCTGCTTTAGTCATCTATGTGATTTCCAAAAATCGATGTGATTTCCGGAAACTGTCCTCATGTATTAACAGGTATACAAATGCCATGCAAAATCCTGGAAAGAGAAGTTTAAAATGTTTAGTAAAGCATTTGAAATATAAACCTTATGCATCATAATTTCACTCCTTACTTTTAAAATACTTTTTGTGGGATATAAAGTAGCACTTCCTCCTTTATTTTAAAAAGTAAGAAATTTCTGATTGTGGTTGGAGTTCATCTTTCCTTGGAGAAGACTGATGGAACAAGCGAGCATGGCAGGCAGTGACAGAAAACTTTACAGAACCTAAATGGGAGCATCAGCTAGTCCTGAGAGCAGCAGTAGGGCCCAACACACCCCTGCAACTGCATAGTTAGTTTTAAAACTTGTCCTCTTATCAGTTCTCTTTTCCTTTCATCTTTGAAAGACCAGAGAAAGGACATATTGTTTTGTGAATTGAGAATTTACCACATGGTAATCATTTCCACCATCTGTAATAGAAGTATAGAATAGATGTGAGTTTCAAGGAGGACAGAAAATTTTTACACTGAGAGTGTTCATGCCTCTATAAATTAAAAAAAAAAAAAAAAAGATTTGCAATGGGTGTCAATGCTCATTCACTTCCAAACCAAATGGATCAGGGAATAGCCTGGTTGTTCTGTACTGATGATTTTCAATTTCTCAAACTTTCTTCTTCTGAAAACTCCCACTGCTAGTGGGACACAGTCTGTGTAACTTAAAGGAGAGTGGAGGGTCCATCTTGCACCTTGTGTGGAAGAATTACCTACTTCTGAATTACTACTTCAACTTTCAGGCTGCCTTTGCTTGATTTATATATTGTCCTGCTTTTTTTCTTCTCTGATTCCATTTTTATAACTCTTTTCTCTTTTCATTTCCTTTCTTATTCTGCCTTCCACCCTTGTAGCTCTGATTCTTTAGGAAATGCAGCCCAAAATGATCGTCAGTAGGTGACTGAGGTGCGTATTCTGTGGTAAGAGCACTCCTGTCCTTCTCTCTGTCCCTTGTTCTYCTATATCCTCTGATCTTTCTTCTGTTTCCCTCCTTCATTCTTTCCATGAACAGAATTTATCTGAATTGTCTATTTTAAAAGCGTATCGGTACATCCTGCAAAAGACCGTTTGAATGTTTTACATATTGTGTGTTTGCTAATCCTTGTCTAGCTTATACCTAATATTAATTAAGGATCTCCAAAAAGTATTTTCCACTTTCCCTTGCCTCAGTAATTACCTAACAGCTTTTAATGTCTTCAGTGCCTTTTCAGGGCATCCCTGAACTGGGAACGAGTAGGTTTAGCCCTTTGGTAACCTCTTTACAAAATTAAGAAAACCCCATTTTTTAACTGAGTAACTTTTTAAAGCAAAGAGTGGCTATAATAGCATAACTGATTGGGCCCAGGCTCAGTAAATGAGAAGGAGTTTTGAAAGGAAAGAYATAGAGAGGTAATTCATGAGATAAAATTATTCTTTCTTTTTTTTTCCTGTGAAACATACACTGCTATTTGGCATGGAGGATCAGATAAAATGAGATGAATGAGGCAGGATATTTGCTTGAGCTRATGTTCATGCTATTCTTCTTACAAAATGCTATTTTTTGACTTAATAAAACATCAGAACCATTTATGCCATTGGTATGTTTTTTTTGGGGGGTGGAGAATCTGAATATTGCCCTTCTATACTAGTAGCTGTAACTGTATGATAGAAATAACATTTAAGTTGAGGTGTCTACTAGAGCTGAGGTGTCTTGATGTCTGCTAGATGCTAYAGTTCGTATATATGGAACAGCTTTAATAAGGAAGGTTACAGTTAAGGGCTGAGCTCTGTTGTCTTCCACAATACTGTGTAATTTTACTCCTTGAGTCATTCTATGGAGTTGCTGACAAAAGTAATGTGCTACTTGATGCAAGTAAATTTTAAGTTTGGTACACTCTGTATTTTCAATGAATGACAGGGAAATTTTCTTTCATCTGTAAATTGGTGGTGCTGAGTCTGAACATACAAACACATAATTCTTTYAGTAAGTCTTCTTGTTGAATTTTTGTGAAAATAAAGTTATAAAATAGAATCATTAAGGAAAGCCACAGGCTTTATCATTACCTATAGAGTCATCCAAAACTATCTTAGAAATTGAATATTACTATTATGCTCCCTGTGAATATGAATTTTCTGTTGTGAGAATTAAGGCTCGGTCTTGTGCAAGCACAGAAACTTTACCTTTTTCTGCATATATGTCTTGAAAAATATCTGCTGCTCTTTACATGTCTTACTGAAGAAATCTATGTCTCTAAAACTAAAGAAAAGCTATAATTCACTATTCAGTAACACACAAGTCAACTGTAAATGGAATAAGTCCTCCACTGGCTTTGTGTATCTCCTGTCATGAACATGTACAACATCTAATACCTCTTTTTAAAGCTTATTCTTTCTTAAAAAAAAAAAAAAAAAATCCATCAATCCAGTGGCGAAAAGCCTTGTAAGGGTTCCAGCTTGGTGCGTATCTAACCTAATAATATTCCTTTTTGAGAAAACACTGCGTTTTGGAACAGAAGTTACTCCTCCTCCAAAAAAGACTCTCCAGAAGTGTTCTTATTACACCTGTGTGGAAGGAGCTCTTTTTCAGGTTTTGTGCCATCACATTTTTGAAAGCAATAAGAATTTTTTCACTGTACTTCCAAAAACAAGCATTAGCAAACTCTGAGCTGAAGAATTACCCCTCAACCACATCCAC